AATCACGCCAAAGGACGTGAACGTGACGGTTCTGGGGTTGATGGTGCCAAGAGTCGGGTTTTCGGGAAGAGGGCGCACTTCAGATCGCCTTCCAGATGTGTTTGGCGTACTGCTGCAACCGCCTCATCACGTCGTGGTATCCATGTCATTGGGAATATGACGCCTTCTTGGAGACGCTGTATTCGAGGATTCAAGGAGTTAGTAAGCATCCAACCCTCACCGTCAGCTGCAATGACTGACAGAAGTGATATCGAAGAACCAAAAGCCGCTGAGAGATGGCGCGCCGTCACCCGCGCACGACTCGGTCCATCAGATAACAGAAAAACCCAGATGATAGAGTTCATGTGCAGCTCTCTCCTCAACATCCTAATTCTGTCAGGTTGGTCGAAAGACTGCCCCTTAACGCGGAGTCCTTTGAGGATAAACTTTCGATCGTGGCAACGCTAGCCATTCGTCTCCACGTCATGCTCGGGGAGGATAGATCGCCTGAGCGACTGGAAACGTTTTTGATACCACCAGAAACCGACTTTGACGATGAGTTTATGGATAACGATTACGCTGAGGAGAATGAGTCGGATGATGGAGATGAGGTGGTCTGCACTTCCGATATCGGCCTGCGAAGAGTGATGAGAGAAGGGATAAACGTAATCGTGAAACCCAAGGTCATTGTACCTGCCGTTCTCGAGCAGATGGGGCTATAAACGTTCACTGAAGAAAGCTGTCAGAAAAATTCAAAGAAATTATTTAATTGCTTACATAATCAACTTCACGAAAATAAGGAGAACGTTGGGAGAACGTCCAGAGCAATCTTTTAGGGAGGCGGGGAGATGATGTTTATTCGACAGATACCAGGAAGCAATGCGAGTGGACTCACAGGGACATTCATAGAGGGCGTATAACGAGAATGAAGTGTCCAATCGACGTTTGAGTGGTTGAGCTTGGTTTGAGCAATAAAACCACACTCTGCACTTGGGCCTCTGCTGCGGTACTTCATCCTGCGGCATTGAGTGAGGAGTTGAAAGGAGCGAAAAGGTCCCCTAATCAACCAGCCAGAATGGCGTATCAAGTGATAAGTTGGTGTTTCCAAACCACACCAGTTTGAACTTGACGGTCTGGCTCCCAGGATTCCCGCGGTAACAATTGAACAAAAGTCGGAGACCGAGAAACACCCTCAGGCTGAAGGCTTTGAAGGCGATTCCATGTAAACGGCTGCCGACTAATCGCTATCTACTGAATACACGGAAATTCAGTAAAAAAGCCTTTTCTCAGGTGTGCTTTATCATCGAGTTCAAAACTCACCTTTTCACCACGAATAAAACTTCTAGTCTCGACCATGTCTGGATACCACCAATCTTGAGGCGATGTGTACAACTGGGCCGTCCGTCGCAGATGTATGATCTCGGTGCTAGTTCCCCTAAGCCCTTCGAAGTCGACTTGTCCTACGTTTTCAGTCGATGAATTCAAGTGGTAGTTCGAAACGAATAGTAAACACCTGCGCAACATGCTGATGCGTTCCAGCACCAGCTTCACGGATGTTTGCATGAGTGATCACTGATGTCTTTGTGTACCTGTCAATCGAGTCGTCCAACGTCGTTGGACGGGAAGACTGCAGCAATAGTAAGATGCAGAAGTCTCTCAAGGAGTACAATTGCTTACGGTAGCCCTGGGTGACGTCCTCGCATCCCCTCGTCGTCCACGACGCGTCGCAATGCAGCCAGCGCCCTTTTACTTAGAGTCGGTTCCATGGTGAATCTGATCGTGGAAAGCGTCCATTGCGTTCTTGGCTTGTTTCTCCCTGCCATTTAGACCCTATAAACGAGGGTTCATCGTTGAAAAATTTAGATGTCATAGAGTAAGGGCTAGTAAGGGTGGCCGAGTTCAACAAACGTAGGGTTGTCGGAGTTGGGAACAAGTTGCAAGTGACAGTGATGACACCTGTTTCCTCATTGTTTCCACCAACCTCCACGGACAACATGGCCCAGTGAGGGCTACAAACATTGTCCGAGTATCTATGGTCCTCAAAATCACGGAAGCTTTCGCATCCTCGTTCTTTCCGACTCAATACATCGTCCACATCGTCGTTGGGATCGTAGTCGTCCTCACACTACATGCCGTCTGCCAAGGCCGACGAACAACCCGTGAACGAGATCTACACGCCAGAACGGTATTGATAACGGTGAGTACAACTGCATTCCCCATTTCTCTGTGGTTTGACTGCTGGTAACACTGTCTAGGGCGGGTTTACACCTCTGGGCCTGACAATTCTCCAATCACTAGCCCAACGCGGAGCCCACATAATCGCTCTTTCCCCAGACCCAATCGACTATGCCAACGTAACCATTTTGATCAATCTCCTCTGCACAACCACTTCGAATGAACAAATATTCGCAGACGAATGCGATGTCTCTTCACCCACCTCCATACGCTCTTTCTGTACCCGATTTCTCACCGGACAAGGTCAGAGAATCGGCACTATCATTTTCGCGCACGAGTACCACCAAATTGGCTCGTTCGTCTCACGTTTGGACAAAGAAAAGGAGCGAAATGCGGGTTCTTTAGCGACATTCTTGATCACCACGCTGCTATTGCCAGCGCTCCCGGTTGTGCCTGTAGAACGGGACATTCGAATCATCAACGTCGTCAACTCATTCTACGCAGCCGCCGCTACCCTCTTACCTCGTTTCGATCCCCCAAAAGAAAGGTCCGTTTTCTTGAGGGAAGGCATCCGTTCTCTACGAAACATCATCGTCACACGGCATCTCCAACGTATTCTAGACGCACTCCATGCTGCACAGATACCTAAACCGGAAGAAGGCTCTTCCTCTGTCCCTGTGGTCAACACTAAAGCGCAAAAGTGAAACATCGTCGCTGTAAGCGTGTGTCCAGGCATAAGCAGAGTCGACACCATCTCAGCTCTCTTCACCGCCGATTGGACGATACGTTCCGCACCTTTCGGAATAGCCCTGTGAGTTTTATGTGCATTGCAGCGCGATATGTTCTGATTGTGCCTAGCTACATCATCCTCCAGCCCGTCGTTCGGATCTTCTTCAAGTCCCCAGAAATAACTATGCAATCCGTGCTACACGCCCTTTTCCTCCCAACCCAACGCCATTCAAAGTCCCTGTGCAACTGACCCAAGTTCCCGATGCGATGCCTGAGAAGTGTTGAAGCCCGTATTGGAAATCCCGGATGATGGAGAGTACGGCAGGGAGGATGCTGGGAGGCTTGTTTGGGAGGTGTATGAGGAGGCTTTGAAGGTGTGGGAGAAGGAGAACACGGCCAGTGAGGAGGATGCGAAGAGAGAAAGCGGGAACAGGAGGAGGTTGTAGACGAGGTTTCTCCGTATTGAAATGACATGGTAGACTTCATTCCAGTACTTCTCTTTTCCTATGATCAGTTAATGTGTATGCCACAGACACGCAAAAGGGTCGGATCGAAGACTCTGTAACGACATGATACCATCGCCGTGAAGATACAGAATAAGTACTCCTGAAACGGCGGTACAATACAACATTGATAGTTGGCCGCGCAACTTAGGTCCCAAGAAACCACTGCGTCCACCAGCCTCGTCCATCACAGCGGACAATTGCACGACGGCATCCTTAACACAAAAGCATCTGCAAAACCTGTATCTGTTCACGCCTCCAAAAGATCGTAATACATCTTATGCAAAATCATGCAGCAGCGTAAGAATCATCGGGGACGTCATCGAAAGGTGGGTATAATTCATCCACATCATGACCGATCGTTTCGTTAGTGAAATTTCTTCCAGCTTCAAGAAATTCAAAACATTTATGTTGTTAACAGCGTACACGCTTGGGAGATCGCAGGTGGCTTGGAGTCCTTTAGGCTTCAAGCGTTCTGCGACTTTGCGTGTTCCACTGGTTGAAAGTCAGCGGCTGGCAAATCATTTGACGAATCCTCCACACCACTGGTTGTCGCGGAAATCGATTTTGCTTAACTCATGGTATCTTGGCTTGGGGCTCACACCAGTCCCAACGTTTTGCATATAAATTCAACTTAACTCGGCACATTTTGCTTTTTTACCTCCGCTCTCTCTCGGCATCCGTAAGCGTTATTGGACGAAGTATGGGGTGGTGTTGTTTCATCGTTTTGATTTCAGCAAGTTAGTTACCTCCTTCGTGCTTTTGCTTTTGCTTCCGAATCCCTCAAATATCCCCTTGCATCCGTTTGTCCTTTTGCACCAGGCTGATCGCCTTCGTCTGATAAGTACTCAGATTCTGATTCCACAACACTGGCAAACCCAAACTCTTGACTTCAGTGATCACATGGCACCGTCTTCCGTGTCCACTGCGCAACTCGGCCACTTGCACCCCTTCGTGCATCGGCCCGCGAAGGGATATTGCCATAGTGGAATCCACGCAGCTAGGCCGCATCTGGACAGTGCATCAGCAAGACCACAAATTGTTTGGCGACGCTTGGTGTGCTTGGTGAGCTTGGGGCGCTTGCCAAACATCCCAAAATCGTACGACCCTCCCAAGCTACGCCGATTTGTGTCACTGACTACGATGGGCCAACGATTGGCCAAGTTTTTAGTTCGAAAGCCAAGCACAATTACAATGATTTATTAGATAGTGACATATTACTGTAATTCCATACTTCGTAAGATAGTAGGCCCATAACATCAGTACCACAAATGCTAAAAAATCCCTCCCAAATACATATTGAAGGTGAGGACCGAGGAGGTGATGGTAGTGGTGGTAGGTCCATCTGGAATGTAAACCTGAATCCGATTGGATTTCCTGTGGACAGAGGGGAGTTGATAAGTGCTAGTGAGCCCTCACTGAGATTTGACTGGAGGGCACTGGGCAGTCTTCCTCCGGGCAAGAAATCAATACCATGAGTGAACTACCATCAGCAAAAGTTCGGGTTCCACGTAAGGCCATAAATGGCCATGAGAGGCGCCAATAGGCCATGAAAGGTTAGCCCCCCTTCTATGGCCAAGGTTGGAACCTCGGCTTACATCCCTGGTGATAGGCCTTGCATGGCACCGGTTTCTTGCATGGCTCCTGACACCATGCGAGGCCATACTAGGCCATCCTAGTGAGCCGTTTCCATACAATCTTAGCTAGATCTTGAATTCTTATTTTAAATTCTGATCACTTCATATGAAATACGGCGAAATAAAACATGTATTTCTTGTAGCATCTAATACAAAGTCTGAAAACGACACAAGAATGGCAGGCAGCAAGAAAAAAGATAGGAAGGATGGAGAAAAAAAAAGAAAGCGATACGTACATGTGGAAGACCATGAGCAAGTGGGTGACATAAAAAACGGTAGTCTGGAAGATTGATAAATGAGCCAGTGTAGAGTCGAAGAAAGGCGAATGAAAACACCTTGAGTAAATGTTGGCAGTTATCTTTCTCTTCGATGTCATGCCACTCGTCTTCTGCTTAGACGACAGAGGCATGCAAGGTGAGCCGTCGTCGTCACCAGTTGAAACCCTTTGCTCCTCATGTCGCTCTCTTGGCTGATTAAGGCTACTCCTGCGATGTAGCCGCTTACCATGGAAACCGCCAGTATATGCGTCTTGAGGAGACGAATCAGGATGATCATGACAATGACACTCAGCATACCTTCTCAACGGGCGTTGACGAGAGGTGAAGTTGCTCACCATCGGTGGTGGTGGCGTGCGAAGAGTTGCGGTGATGGCTGCGGCTGCGAGGAGCTTGCGTGTAACCAAGGCGACTTTGACTGCTATGGCGCGGAGGGTGGCAACGACTCGGAGGGCATATCCCCTGCATGCGTGAATTGGGTACAAGGGGACGATACGGTGCTAACGAATGCATTGTTAGCAAATTACTACCTAGAGAGTCATAAAGCGTGTACATACCGTGCAAATCCAGTCTCCCAAGCGATATGACATCGTTTTGACGGTATCGACCAATAATCCGCGCCGTCATCGGCTTGGGCATCGGGGAAGACACCAAGCATTCGAGCACTGTCAGAATTGGAAGATACATCACATATATGCGCATGTATGCCACGAAAAACACTTACTTGGCAAGAGAACGCGTAGCAAAGCATCGGCGTAAACGGTAGTCGATTGAATACCTACATTGGAAAGTCAAATCTTTAAGATAAGTAGCATATATGCTCAGATAATTACTCACCCGCTCAGAGAATCTGCGCCCATGATGTCTCCTTCTCATCACCAGACAATACAAGCGAATCACTCAAGCTCACTGCGGTGTCGCTGAGCGGGGTACAGCACAGCCAGGAGTTGTAGCGTCGAGCCGTCGTCGTCGTCGTCGCCGGGAGGGAAGGAGTCAGGAGCGGGGGAGCGGGGAGGCGGTGGTGGTGGTCAAGAACAGAGAGCAAAATTCCAGTGAAACGCGTGATTAGTGTCATGTGATCAATTAGATAAGTCCAATCAAAGTCCGACGTACCTCTACATCGCTTTCATCGCTTTACTTCACACCACAGTACCCCGTCGTATGTTCGTCACAACCCACCTCGGTGAGACACAGGACGACTACGGAACAAAAACGTGAAACGACAATGACACAGCGAGGAGGACGCGAGGAGGACGCGAGGAGGACGCGAGGAGGACACGGTAAGCTCACCTCACCCCCACCACTCGTCTCTCTAACACGGAATCCAGGTGCCACGCCGCTGACAGCGACGTGTCAACCACACGACGACGAACGGCATGTGTATTTCAGGACACCAAGGTAAGTACCCCTGTCTCACGTTCGTCCCAACACAGCTCGCTGAGACTCAGGACAACGACGGAACGATGATGTGGGACAACGACGACGCGACGATGAAAACACAAGACGAGGACACGGGATGAGGACGCGACAGCGACAAGGACACGGGATGGCTATGAACCGATGACGAGGGCACGCTATAATCCAGGTGAGTAGCAACATGACTTCGCTCCCTCTCCTTCTTTCACACCAGAAGCAGGGGCGATGGACGGTGACGACGCATTTTGTCGTCACTGTTCATATTATTCCGGGTGAACATCATGACTCCCCTCCCCATCTCCTACCAACGGCGACGTGGCGACCAACAACAGATCAACAACAACGACTATGGACAACGAATGACGAAGAAGGGTGACAACAAAGATGATCGGCAACAAATGACCATGACCACCATCAACGATGATGAATAACCCCCCGAGAACGAACCATGACCGCCAACGATAACGACGAATGATGACTACAACGATGACAACAACGATGACCGACTACGACAACGACAATGGATTTAGTTATAATAGTTGTTAGTATGTTCTCAATATGTCTAGAATACTTTTTCAATGTTCAGTGCTGTAGGCATGGTCCTAAACTTTGGTCAATATAACTTGAGAACGGAACAAAAATATTGGTCAACCAAAATAGCTGAATCCTATCCTAGGAGTAGTACAAGCATGCTAGGCTGGTGATAGGCTACCAACCGACATAAATGGATGATAACACCCTCTTAGATACCATACTAGGTTATACTACCCTTTTGCTCTCCATACTAGGCTTCACTAGGCTTTCACGTTCCATCCTAGGGATTGCTAGCCTGTTAAGCCCCATCCAAAGCCACACAAGCGAGATACTAGGTAAGTAGGCCCATACTATATATACTAGGCCTACCATGGAACATGAACTTTTGCTGATGACAGAGCGCGTGCCGCGAACAACAGGACGAATCCTGCTGATGCCCAAGTCTCTCGCGCCGGCCCTCAAGCCATCCGATGATCGATTTGTGATGCGAAGTTTTGCCGCCGTAAACGTCCGGTCATCCGAACACCCTAACATTTTCTTCTTCGATATGCCCTTCGCTTCATGAGAGACTAAACTCATCCTCAATGGTGGCACAGGTCTCCCCATCAGCCCCGTAAGTTCTCCTTCACTTGCCAATTTCTCCATCTTATCTTTTTTTGTCGAAGGATGGCATTCCAAAACCTCTTCTACCACGCAGGTCGAAAATGCCTCGTCCTGGATCTCGACGAGACCCTCATGCATAGCAGTTTCAAGGTATCATTGTTTTGAATGCCTCCCCTCCTTCTCATCCCTTTTACAGGCAATACAACAAGCAGATTATGTCGTACCCATCGAAACCGAGTACCAACGTTTGGGTTATCAAACGCCCAGGTGTTCACCCTCTCCCGCCTACCCCTGCCTCGTCGTGAAAGTCTTCCACCGAAATCCGCCTCTCCCCCGAGCCGACGTATCGTCATCGTTCACTTTGAAATTCATTCAATTCGATCACGCAACTGCATCTTACTTTGCTGCGTTGCTCATGGCAGCCTGTTCTTACCAAGTAGTTGCCGGTGCGTTGCCTGTTCTTTTAGTTGAAGAAAGTACACTGACGCTTAGGGCAATATTACCGCTTGAAGTGCGTCATACAGAATCAACCACGTCAGTGTAAGCCACGAATCACGATCACAGGTTCTGCCAACACTCCAAATTCAATGGCAGGCGGAGCGAATCCGACCATCATGTATAACGTTGCTCGCATTCAAACTGCTACCCACCTCACGACGACTGCCAAAGCGATGGAGGAGATCACTGCTTCGGCTAGAGAGTAAGTTTTCACCTATCTCCTTAGCCTACGTCGTGTTCTGATAAGCGACGCGGATATCTCAGCTGCTGTCAGCACAGCCGGGGATGGGTTGAAGACTGCCACTGAAGGCCTGATGCTCTCGGTGCTGGCGAAGCAGCAAATGACGCTGACGAATCAACCTCACAAATGGGTTGATGACTGCAAAGGCGGTCCCTGCTTCGATGCAAACGTACGTTTTGTTTTCTATGTTGAATAACCAAGCAAATTTTTCCGCAGGCAGAACCCCACCATCTTGCTCTACTGTATGTTTCCCTTCTTAAGTTGCTTGCTCTGCATCCATCTAATTCAATACATATATCGCGTGAATTTTTCCCTGTCTTTCGTCTAGACATCACGTCCCAACCCCGACAACGGGGGAGAACCTGATCAAGGACGAGAAGGGTTTCGCGCAATCTTTGAACCTTGGTGTGTTTTTTTCTCACATCAATCCAGATATTCATCTCATTCTATTTGGATCTAGAACCAAGAGAGGCACTTCTGGTGCAGGAAGGGTTGCACCGTTGTAGATACTGTAGTCTACATTTGAGCAGCCCTGTACTAATAGTAGCCCAAATATATCAACAATCGTGCGAGCAGAGTTGAATCGGTGTCGCTTGGGAGCTACTTGGCCGATTTTGCGCCAGCTCATATCCGGCCTCTTTTTTCGGACGACCCGATCAAATTTGGCAGCTTGGCGAAGTTGGCGGGCTTGGCCAAGCGTCCCGAGTGATTTGCAATCTTGCTGATGTGCTTGTGGATCTTGCGTGGATCCAGCATCATCTCCTCGAAAGCAGCCACGGCAAACCCCTCACATACAGCAATCTACTAAGTATAGGTCACTGCCGTCTGCTGGGTCATAAGTGCAAGCTTGAGTCGGAGAGCTGGAGAGTAGCTTTTTTCCTTTGGTAGGTTGTCACTCTTGCCGCGTTACTTATCATTCGGTATACCCTTCTCCCTTCCCCGGCTTCCGAATTCCTTGTCACATATCTATTTGGTTTTTTGCCTGGCTGACCGACCTCCTTCGTTACTCAGATTCTGGTTCAACAACACCAGTGCCAACCCCGGCTCTCCTCACTTCGGGTGATCGAACTGTCTTTCCCAGTTGCCATGACTCGCACAACCCAGCCACTTGCACCTCTTCGTACGTCAGCTCGCGAAGCAGTGACAACAAGTACCAAGCTCATGGATTCGGCATCATCTCTTTGCCAGTGGCCGCAGGCAAACTTCACATATATCGATCCTCTGATTGTTTGCGCCCACTGGCAGCCGCGTGGTTGTTCGGTCGTTCTCTTCCACCGAAGCTCAGCGGTGCTCGATAACCTTCTCGTCGACGGCCCACTCTGTCCTTTTGATGGCACAAGTTGAGCAAAGGTTAGAAGCAACACCTATCGATCTGGGCCTCACTCTGACCAATTTGAAACTGCCTTTACGTGGCTAACTTCTTTCAGACGTTCCACGTGTCACTACGTATGCACCACCCAACTACCCCAACCCCTGCTCGTAGTACAAGTAATTTTCACATCCTGTCTCTCGTTGACATTGGACGCAGCCTACATACTGCATAGATTCACCATCGACTCGGATGTAGAGCAACGGTTTGTCGCCTAGTCATCATGAACATCCACCCGGATCTGTTAATCAGAATAGACTGTGTATTTTGATTTAACAAATTATTCACAAAGTACTGTTACCGAAAGGTACGATTTGATGTGGCTCGGAGTCTCAGCAAAAGGAGGGTTTGAGAACTAACGTTGGAGGAATCCGCGTGGTAGTGCGCTCTTACTTTATTCTCCCCGCACGGTAGCGCGTTCTCGGTAGGGTTAGGAGGTTAGGGTAAGGTTAGGAGGTTAGGGTTAATGGTTAGGTTTAGGGATATATTTTCCCCGCGCGGTAGCGCGTTCTCGGTTAGATTAGAAGGTTAGGTTAGTGGTTAGGGGGATTAAAACTCCGACTGCCCAAATCGGGAGTGTGTCGTTGTTGCTACGTGTGTATGTGTCCTATCTTGTATATCCTCCATCTTTCTCCGTGTCCCAGCGTCAGATTCTCAAATCTTTGAAATTGCGCGTAACGTTGCATGGAGGCGTTCGTAGCGTTTGTTCGGCTTATATTTGGTCGATCCTGGGTAAGGTGAGTTGCCACTCCTCTCGTTGTTCATTTCCAAACCTCACTGCGCCACATGATCTACTTAGTATAATCATCTGCTTGACTAAACGTCATGCAGAAATCGTCAACGTGTAGCCTTGTGCCTCGCAACCATTACGATGC